AAAAAAACAGGCCAACCTATCAAAAACAGTACTGTAAAAAACAGATTAAGAATACAAGTTAAAATAGGCAAGAAAAAGATAAGAGAGCACCTGTCCACCCTAGAGATGAGTTTCAATCACCAGGACTAGATGGATTACACCCCAAAATTTTGAAGGAACTGACATGATCACATCATATCTTTCAAATATCCTGGAACACTGGGGAATAACAGATGCCTGGAAAAGGGCTGATGTAGTTCCCACCTTCAAAAAAGGGGAAAAAGGAAACCCAGAAACTACAGACCTATCAGTCTGACAGCAATACCAGGGAAAATTCAAGCAATGAATCTGGAAACACCCAGAGGCAAACGAAATCATAATATGTGTTTGTCAAAAACAGACAAATCAGACAAATGCCAGACAAATCTCATTACATTATCTGATAAAGTGACAAAACTATTGGACCAGAGAAATGCTGTGGATATAATTTACTTGGACTTCAGTAAGGCATTTGATAACGTAGACCATAACATATTGCTTGATAAGTTAGAAAAATGTGTGTTAGACAGCATCACCACCAGCTGGATTTCTAACTGGCTAACCAACCAACAGTCAATGTAGTCCTTAATGGAATTGCACTTACATGCAGGAAAATGTGCAGTAAGATACAGCAAGGCTTTGTCTTAGGCCCAGTACTCTTCAGTATCTTCATCAACAATTTAGATGAGGGAATAGAGGGGGAACTCATCAAATCTGCAGATGATACCAAGCTAGCAAGAATAACAAGTACTCCAGTCCAGAAGATAGGCTTAAGATACAGAAGGATCTTGATAAAAAATGTTTAAAAAAAAAACAAGCAAACTTTTTTGGATGGAATTTATATGTTTATTGAAACTTGTTTCCATAACAAGATACTAGATCTTGGTTAGATCTTAGCTAGCCTGGTTAGTTGAGTTGAGTTGAAAATATACATTATTCTTAGTAAATATACATATTTTCTTCAGTGTACATCTCACTGAATTCAGTTGGACTTAACAGTGGAAAGGCACACGTGGACTTCGTTATTTATTACCCTTCTGTCAAAGGCAGCAGGTAACTGTACAGAACAAATAACATCAAAGAGCTGCTAATTACATTGACTCACAGTTTCTTCCACAGCAAAACTGTATAGTACTTCCTCTGCAGTTTGCAAATGTTGATAGCTGACCTGTTACTGGCTTGCAGAGGAAGTTGGCAGCAACTTCATCTGCAAATTTAGGAAGGCATGGAATGGAGGAAACCACACAAAAAATATGCAGAAGCAAATAGCAAAAGCAGCAGCAGCAGCAGCATTTAGCATACACACACACGCGCACGCACACACACACATACACACACACAGAGAGATAGATAGATATATAGATATATAGATATAGATATAGATACATTTGGTCCTTAATTTCAGAAAGCATTACAAGGTTATAAGAGCTAATAATATATTGAATTTAACTTTCGGGATTATTTCAATTCAATGTTAATTGTACAGAGTAGGCTGTCCTTCTAAGGTAGTCTGCAAAGGGCAAACTTTATAACTGACAGAAGATTAAAGAAATGCATACCGTATCTTATTTTTTTCTTAGATTTACTAGTTTGTTTACTTATTTGTATCCCGCCCTTAAACTTAAAGTGGCAAATAATATGTTGTCTAAACCAGCATGGTGGACCATGGTTTGCATTAGCTTATTACCCCATTAGCTCTATATTCTACATAACCTAAAATAACTATGATTTAGTTCCATATGTGAATACAAATAATCCCAAGCCATTTCCATAATGGTACAATATATTCTGCACTTTACAGGCATCAGAGTGGCTCTAGGGATATAGTGGACATTTATACAGAAATGGTGCCTTATTTGTCAAAGAAGATTCATAATAGTGTCCAACCAACTTTTTGGGAGTGAGGAAATAAAATGAAACTGTAAGTTTAGCTTCTGAGGAACTCATTAAGAAGGAACATTAGTAACAAAAGCCTGGATTTTGCAAGTGTAGAAAGTACTGTATTAAAAGAACTTCTTAAGATCACAATTCTTTCCTGTTAGCTAAAATCAATGGTACAATAATAATATTAATAATGGCTATTTATTTTGTAATTTTGACAAGATATAAGTCCAAGCTAGATAAACACACCCTTGTTATAAAATCAGTTCACAATGTAATAAATTCACTGGATCACAAGATCAGTATTTGTGACCTTCCAAGCTGTCTCCAATAGGTAAAGTCAGTGGGGGAACCCAAATTCGCTTAACAACCACATGATTCACTTAATAGCTGTGGTGATTTGCTTAACCGTGGCAAAAAAGATTATAAAATCAGACATGACTTGTTTAACAACTGCTTTGCTTATTAATGGAAATTCCAGTCCAATTGTGATTGTAAGTTGAGAACTATCTATACATCCATAATTAAAACAGGTATCAATTCAGAAATTGTCAAGATTGATGAGATCACAGCATAATAACACTAAAACACTCTGGTGAGAAATGGAAGAAGATCCTCCACAGAATTACCTAAATAGAATAGAATAGAATAGAATAGAATAGAATAGAATAGAATAGAA